ATAGGTTCGCCTTCACTGGCCTAGTGAATGGTCTGACACTCTAATCACTCAACACACTGGCCAGAGATCATTTTTCATTTAACATTGTTCCATGTTTACCTCATAGGGATCCATTTATGTAATCTATATCTATATCTATAAGCATAAGCAACCGTCCAACCATTCGCTATGACGCACAATGACCACCAGGGGGCAGATGCTTCTACTGATAGCTATGATATGCACTGACTACCAGGGGGCAGACGCTCAACGCAGGAGCTGCCGAGCTGTGGTGACTTGGCAGCTGCAGCTGCAGTTCTTGGGTGATGCACCCAGAACCAGAGAAGAGGGAGCCCGATTCCCCAGCCCGGTTCTCACCCGAGAACCGCCCTCTCGCAGTCCGGGACCCCTTGGGGGATGTCGGAGAGCTGATTTTGGCCTGATCCCCACAGGCCAGGCTAAGGGACCCCACCAGTGCATAAGTCCATGCACCAGGCCTCTAGTTTTATTATAAGCATCCATTTAAATAGTTATTGATACACATTTGAGGATTTTTCAAATAAGTTGATAATTTCAAAGACATAATTTTATTTATTTTTAATCCTCACCCAAGGATTTTTCCCCAATGGTTTCTAGAGAGAGTGGAAGGGAGGGGAGGGGAGAGAAAGAAACATCAACATGAGATAGGCACATCAACTGTTTGCCTCCTGCATGTGCCCCTACATGCTGGGTAACCTGCAATCGAGGTGCGTGCTCTTGGCTAGGAATCAAACCCTTCAGTCCCCAGGCTGATGCTCTAACCACTTTGCAAAACCAGCCAGGGTGACATAATTTGCTTATATAAGTTCCAAATCTGGAGTTTTTTTTGTTTTAATTTATTGATTTGAGAAAGAAAGAAACATCAGTCAAACCTGAAACATAGATATGTGCCCCGATCAGGAACTGAACCAGCAACCTTTTTGGTGTACAGGACGGTGCTTCAACCAACTGAGCTGCAGGCTAGGCCCAAATCTGGAATTCTAAGTAAAAGATATGAATTCGTGGTACTTGACAGATTATGAAACTGCTTTGCCAATATAGTATACCAACTTATTCAACCAGCAAACGATGACAATTTATCATTTAAATCATATTATCAATGTAGTAGGGAGAAGAAAAACCTCCTAAGTCTTTCAATTTGCATTTAAGAACACTGCTAGGGGAAAAGAACTTGAATCAAGACCCGTTACTAGTTAAATGTCTTCTCTTTTAGAATCATCACACATATTGAGGGAGGAAGTTTACCTGCTAGTCAGGCACCTATCTCTTCCCTGTGGAGGCAGCGTACTATAAGGCCTATGGCCCTAATGCTGTAATGACCAAAGACCGGCGTGGGTGGGCAGGGCTGTGAGCGTGATTTCGCACGCTGGGCTTCTAGTTAAGAGTAGAAAGAACAAGACCTTTGGGATGAGAATCCACCTTCCTAAAGAACTGGACATACATGCACCAACCTCGTGAGTTGTTAGTTTCATCCATTCATTTAGCCAGCGGTTCTCAACTTTCCTAATGCCGCGACCCTTTTAATACAGTTTCTCATGTTGTAGTGACCCCCAACCATAAAATTATTTTCGTTGCTACTTCATAACTGTAATTTTGCTACTGTTATGAATTGTAATGTAAATATCTGACATGCAGAATGTATTTTCAGGGCTCATGATCCCCTTTTAGACTAACGGGAGAATTTGACCATTTAGCTATTTTTTTTTAAAAAAGAATTATTGATTTTTAGAGAGAGAGGAAAGGAGAGGGAGAAGCATCAGTGTGAGAGTGAAAGATCAATCAGCTGCCCCTGCACACCCTCTCCCAGGGATCGAGCCTCCAACCGGGCATGTGCCTGACTGGGAAGCAGTAACCTTTCCGGGCCAGGCTGACGTCTGACCAGCTGAGCCACACCAGAGCTGTTCTGATCTTTAAGAGTCACTTGCACACTATCTTCTGCAAGTAAGGATCCATTTTGGGAATTAGAAGAGCTCATTTTTTTCTCAAGTACCAATTTTCCTTGATTTTTAAAATAGTAAGATGCTTACACTTACTATTAAGCCCTTGCTTAACATGAGATGTCACATATCCACTAACCTTCATGCCAACCCGAGGGAGGTTAATACTCATTCTTATCAACACACAACAGAAGGAAAAACCGGGTGTGTAGGGAGACTACATAACTTGTTTGACCCTTGGTAGCCTATATTGTTAAGCAGCCACGACTCTCCCAGCCTCCTGTAGTGAGTTAGCAAAAAGTAAGCGTAAGCAAATCACGGCTGCTGCCCTCCGGAGAGAGAGACGCTGCCACTCACTCTCATATGAACGCGTTTGTCCCTATGGCCCATACTGAGTGGAGGAAAGGGCAGCCGAATCTCAAACTCGAAAGCTCAAACACTTTTCAGGACGGTGTACTTGCAACCCCTTTAGATGCTTCTAAACTCTGAAGCAGCTTGGCTCAGCTGCTCACATTTGGGCAAGAGAGGCAAGCGTGGGCTGTGCCTTCCTGCCCGGCATTGAAGGAATTTTCATAGTGACACAGCCTATCATGAACCTCTTTCTCCACATCTTCTAGGCGGGTGCATGACCTGATTATTAAAACAAGCCATGTTGCAAAGGTGGAAATTTGTTAACTTTTCCTCATCTTTCTAACTCAAAAGTGAGTGTGTGAGTGTGTGTGTGTGTGGTGGGGGCGTGTACAGGGGAAGGGGACACACTGATTGTGAAGTTTATTATACTGGGAACCATTTGTTAGGGAAGGTAAAATCCAGACATTTATATTTTTCAGCTTTGACTTGGGAGCCTGCTTCAGCGCGACTCTTGCGGCTTCCTGGGCACTACCGCTGTGGAAGAGCTGCACAAGGTCCCTCTGTGACTTTCGGAGGGAGTGGGCAGAGGAAAGAGAGATAGGCAGGTCCTCTGTGTGTACATCTCTTTTCCAAAAGCAGCCGCTGAAACTGTGTGAACTGAAATAAACTTAGCTCCCACATAGGGCAGTTGGCAACAGACTGGATCAGAAAGCCTAGCTGCCTCATTACTTAAGGCAACACTGTAACAGAGGACTAGCTGCTTGTGAACAATAGATGGCACAGAGTAGGCCCAGTGGGTTTTAGTGTTGGCTGTTACCAAAGCTGATCTGAATGCAATCCCTTAAGCCTGTGTCTTCAGTGGGAGAAAGTCCGCGTTGGACTGGGTTGATAAAGCTTTGGGTCCGGTTTTGAGCCCGTGTTTAGCCCTTGCTTCTGAATACAGCAGCTTCAGAACCCGTCCTGCTAGTAAGTGCTGGTCAATCTGCATGGTAAACCCTTCCCCTCACTAACAAGATGCAGTGAATGACCAAGACCAACAAGCAGGGGCTTATGTGTGGGTGTAGCTCAGCAACTGGGATGGGGAAAGAATCCCATACATCTGCTTCAGCTATCTTTCCTCCCCTCCCCTCCCCTCCCCTCCCGACATTTCCTTTACTGTCCCCTCACTGACAGGGATCCTCGTTATTATAGAAGGGAAATAGGCACATAGAAGTCATGGACTCAGGTCCATGGAAAATGGCAGAGTCCAAACTAGAGCCAAGCCTGCCAGCAGTCACAAGCTTCTCCCATAAACGCCACCTCCATCCGTCATGACACTCAGGCGGAGGACTGGGCTTTCATTCCGTCTTTACGCTCAACTCCTCTGGATGCTCTCAGAGAGGTTGTTTCAAAATTCCTCTCTTGCTAGCCTTTAAGTAAAGATGAGGAAAGGAGAAAAATTAAAATAAAATAAGCCACATACACAAAGCTCAAAGCACATAAGCCAAATGATTTAATTTAATATTAGCAAGGGTCAAATGGTATCTTAATAATGAAAATAAAGACAGTAATGTCTTCCTCAAATAAAACATTTGGAGGAAGAAACATTTCTAAAAAAAAAAAAAAAAGGGAAAAAAAGTTTATTTGGAAAAGCCAGCCTCTTACACAAGGCTTTTATCTATACTTTCAGTCTGTCAATTACAACAATATTTTAAAATACATTTAATACAATATATAAGTCACTGAATGTCATTGTTCTACCTCAATTTAAAAGATATTAGGTTAAAAAATATTTCATTTTCATTCTGGTCCGTCTTCCCTTCTATCCTTACACTAAATCCATTTCTTTACTTTTCAAATAAGTGAAATGAGTCACAAAATTTTTAGGTTTATGTGGAGAAAATGCATCTCACGAATGTGTCCAATAATTCTAACGAAAACATAATTTTAAGAAACTTCTCAGAAAAAAAGGCGTTATTTATTGAACTAAAAACACTCAGCAACCTCCCTTCCAATCTTATCCTTATATGTTTGCGTGGGGCCAAATCTCTTTGGCTCTTTTAAACCAGCAAACATGAAAAAAAGAAAAAAGAAAAAGAAAACCAACAACAAAAACATATGAAGCACACAAAGAACGAGAATCTCACACACAGCCCTAAGCTAGACGTAGATATGAGTGGAGCCACTATGAATCAAAGGGGAAAATTCCAGGAAAAATAATAACAAAAAGATTCTAAGTCTCATGGTTTAACTGAGTTTTAGAAAAACCTAAGCTGAGTTCAGCTGCTGTTTGAAATATCTGTCAACATTTAATTAGAGATGTTGGATTTACTAAGGAGGCACAAACATATAGTTTTGCATATTTTAATACTAACTTTTACAGTGGAAAAAAAATACTAAGTGATCTCAAAAGGGACAATGATCTATAAGCACTCAAAATATGTCTTTGAAAAGGGGTGCAGAAATAGTTATTTAATAAAATCAATAACTTGACTTCTAATAAACATCCTAAGGAAAGAAACCAGATGGGGTGTTGATGAGTACAACGTGTCTAGAAAGACAAGATATTTCCAAAATTTTATGCCTTAAGTTTCCTATATATATAGCAGGCAGGTACACATGCCAGGCAGATATTGATGCTAGGAAAATATTTCAGCTAGGATTCTGGAAAACCCCCAACTTTCAGCCAAGATTTCTATTCAGTCTTTCAGTGATAATGTGTGACAATATGTTACAAATAACACTGAAGCAAGATTAGTTTTAAATTTTAGATTTGCTTTGATCAAGTTATTTTTCTTTGTAATGGAACACTTAAAATAGATGAATTCAGCAGAGTGGTTTGAAAAGTTAAGGATCCTTGAAGATTCTAAAGACTAAAACTTAAGGCACATATTATAATCTTCATGACACTGTTAAAAGCTAAGATTAAAAAAAAAAATACCCGACTTCTCCCTTCATTCTTTGCCAACCACTCCCTCCCCAAAGGATATGGCATGTTAAATTTGGACTAATGGTAAGGAGTGAAACAAAAATTCCATCAAGGAACACCTGGTAGGATTTCCACACGAATGTCCACTATTTGCATTGAGCACCACTGGGAGATTACGGCCAGTAGAACATTTCAGATATCTTGGGTCACAAGCTGCTCCATTTACCCTTCAGCCCCACAGGCTCAGACTGGACTCTCCTCCTCTCTGGGGCTTCCTTCGGTGCCCTTCTGCTCTGGTGATTCCGCTGTGTTGGTAATTGTTTTTGGCGTCTCAACCTGTACACCGGCCTCTTCCTCTTTACTCTCATTTTCCCGCTCCCTCGATTTTTCTCTTTCAGTCATTCGATAATTGATGCCCATGCCAATGAAGAGATAGATGCCTGCGAAAATGAGAACTATGCCACAGGCCCAGTACGTATATTTGTAGTCTCCGTAAATGTCATGGAGACGACCTAAAGGTGTCAAAAAAGAAAAAAACACACTGAAAACACCAACCAATAAACAGTTATGTGGATAAAAGTAATATTCTTTTCTAAATAAAACTCAAGGACCTACTCAGAAAGATGTCAACCCAATTCTCAAATAGCCCACAGGTGACAAATTAGTTTAAAAAGAAACTGCTAAAAGTGGTCTGACCTTCTGTTTATGATGTCATGCTTGATTTTGGCTGGCCTTGCATACTGTCATTTTTAACAACTTGAAAATAATTAAATCTTGGCATATTTGAGTTGGGAAAGAACTAGAAATCACCTAGAATCAGTTTTCTTAATACATATTGGGGGAAAAAATTGTTGCAATGGAGGTTTAAGAGCCCTGGCCAGGTAGCTCAGTTGGTTTGAGTGTTGTACCAATACGCTAAGGTTGCAGGTTTGATCCCTGGTCAGGGCACATACAAGAGTCAACCAATGAACGCACAAATAAGTGGGACAACAAATTGATGTCTCTCACTCTCTAAAATCAATAAATAAACCTAAAAAAAGAGAAAAAGTTTAGGAATCTTGCCCAAGGTCACAGAGCTAATTTCAGTCTCCCAGGCAGACTCCTGCTCTTTCTCTGACATCAGCACTTCCCAAAAAGCATTCCTATGAAGACTTGTCCTAAAAAAATGATCAAATATTAATAATACCTTTGCATCATTCTCAGTGCTTATTCCTCGCAGCAGGCAGATTCTACCATCATTCTCATTGTATAATGTAAAAACTGAAGCACAGAAAACTTACGTAACTTGTCTGAGGTCACAGAGTTAGTTAACGGTTAGCTTTAAACCCAGGACATGTGACTGGAGCTGCAACTGTAACCTCTGTGCTGCAGGATACCCCCTGGTGTTTCCAAAGTCAAATAGTTTTGGGAATGGCATATCTTACTCTTTCTTATTAAAGCTACACAATGCAAGTTAGCATGTCAAAGGCTCTGCAAGGTCCTGCAGTAAAGAAATCTAACTTGGTGTTTCCAAATTTTTTTTTTTTTGGCCATGAAATCTTTGTTATAGTGAAATTCATTAGCATCTCATCTAATTGGCATCTCAAGGAATAAACTCTGGAACACTTCATAGGTGTTTACTCCACACCTATGAAGGACTTCATGTAACCAATTCAAATATAGGATTCCATATGGCAGGGTTGGGGAACGTCCAGCTGCAAGCGGGCCGTATAAGGCTGGTGACATCATTAGGTCTGGCCCTGCCATTAGGGGTGAGTTACCGGTAGTTAAATGTTTGACTAAATATAGCAGGCTAATTTTGCCATTAGGGGTGAGTTAGTTAAATGTTTGACTAAATATAGCAGCTGATTTTTAAGTTGATAATTTTGTGTGGTCCACAAATGATGCCATAAATATCCAAATGGGTCTTGGCAGAAAGAATGTTCCCCCCCCTGCTACATGGTTTCCTAACTCAGGGCATTATTCACTTAGAGTATTTCCTGAGCCTTTCCAGACACCAGTCACTGGGTCTCTTAGGCCCCGAGGAGAAAGGTGGGCAAAGGAAATAATATCTACAGTTTAGTGGAGGAGAGAGAGGTTAATCAAGCAATCGTATAAACTGTGACCAGTGCTACAAGGAGGGTTGAAAGCAGAAAATAGAGGGTAGGACCAGTAGGTAGGGTCAGGAAGGCTTCTCCTAAAGAGTAACCTAGTAAGCCTAGACTGACAGGAGGAAGGGGTTATCTGGCAGAGAGGGGGTGGGGTAGGGATCCAGGCAGAGTGAGTGCAAAAGCAGCAGCGGGAGAAAGTACAGGGGGCAAGAGGGGAAGGGAGAAGGGCCAGGCTGCTGGAGGAGAGCACAGGCCAGTAGGTAGGAAATGAGGCTGAAGAGAAAGGTGGGCGGGCCCATATGAGGGGCCCTGTGGGCTACATAAGGGAATTTGATCTTCACCCTAAGAAGATGAGAAGCAACTGCAGAGTTCCAATTAGCTGAAATATCAGATTAGCATTTGTCTGTCGAGTAGAAAACCGATTGAAGGCTAGCTAGAGTGGATATAGGTAGACCAGTTAGGAGGCTACTGGAGCAGCTCAGATAGGAACTATGGATAAGAGATATATAGATACAGAAAAAGTGTATAGATTAGAAATTTAGGAAGTGAAAACTGACAAGATTGGTCAACTGATTGGGTATCGTGGAAGGAAGTAGGAGTTACATCTTTTCAGAAAGAGCCAAATTTTTTTTTACTATGTGTTATGTATTGATTTAAAAGATGAAACAGCCCTAACCGGTTTGGCTCAGTGGATAGAGCATCGGCCTGCAGACTCAAGGGTCCCAGGTTCAATTCCGGTCAAGGGCATGTACCTTGGTTGCGGGCACATCCCCAGTGGGGAGTGGGCACATCCCCAGTGGGGAGTGTGCAGGAAGGCAGCTGATCGATGTTTCTCTCTCATCGATGTTTCTAACTCTCTATCCCTCTCCCTTCCTCTCTGTAAAAAAATCAATAAAACATATTTTTGAAAAAATAAAAATAAAAGATGAAACATTTAATAACTTTAGGAAATAGTTTCCCAATTACATACTCAATTACTAGCTGTGTAATACAGGCAAATTGTTTCACTTTTAAAAGCCTCTTTCTTCACTGACAAAGTAGGAACTCTAGTCCCTACCTCATAGACTGGTGAGATATAAGATATAGGACAGTGCACTGTGAGCTTACATGGTAGCTATTATTATTATTATTACTACTACTACTATTACTTTAATTATTACTACTAAAATAAACTTCATTATTAAAATGAAATAAATCACCACCAGTGCTTTAGAGGTGGCGTATTTTACATGTTTTCTTACAATAAGCATGGAAGCTTTACAAAGAGAAAACATTTTAAGAAACAGCATCATTTTAAAAATGTTTTACTCCCCTTTCAGCTTGATGGTTCATTTTAACTCAAGTCTGTATTTGAGCGATGATGCTACTCGAAGAACTGTGCCAGTACCGAGGACACAGAAAGGAGAAAGACCTGCTCTCCCCCAGCAAAAGGCTCAGTGATCTCTGCTTTCTAACCCCTTCTCAATCTTCGTGCCTGCTTTATATTAACAGAACTGTGGAGATAGGGAGACATACTGTACCTAGAAGTGGTGGCCCTAGGAGGACAGGACAGCATTCCACAATGGTCACCAATCCCACAGCACTGGAGAACTTCTGGGGTCCAACGAGGTCCATCAGTGTTTCAAACAATACCGAGCTGAGCCACCCAAATGCAAACCCAAAAACTCCAGCATAAATACAGAGCCCAATATAGCTGTTAGTCAAAGGTGCTGCCATGTGACACAGTCCATTTGCAATAACAGAAGCAGCAAAAAAAAATTGAACTCGAGGTCTTATCCACCTTGTGTTGGCTAAAAGTCCCATAGATGGTCTGGCAAACATGTCAACAAAAGCCAAAATGGAAAGAAGGAAGGCAGACTTCTCACTAGAGTAATGCTGACTCTTGCCATAATTACTAAGAAAGACCAAAGGAGCAAACAGTCCGAAAAACATGATCACATTTCCAGAGAGGTATATCAAGAAGCCTCTGTGAGTGAACAAGGAAAAGTCCAGGAATTGATTAATTGTTTGCAATACTGACTTTTTCTCCTTTTTGGGGTTTTCTCCAATGAGATCTGTATTTGCATCACCTGCCACTTTTGAACCAGACTTTCCAGCTTCCTCAATCGTTTCTGAAGGCTGGTATTTCTTTGCACTGGCTGGGGGGGGCCCTATGGGTCGCATCAGGGATCCAGCCACACAGCAGTTTAGTAGTAAGCCTCCAAGAATTAGGAAACTTCCTCTCCAGCCAAAGATACCGAAGAAAGCCTGATTGAGGGGGGCCAGGGTAGAGAGGAACACAGGACTGCCTGCCATGGCCAGTCCATTTGCCAATGGCCGCTTCTTGTAGAAATACTTGCCAATCATGGTCAGAGCTGGATTCAAATTGAAGGCAAGCCCAAGACCTAAGAAAGAGGGGAAAAAGAATCACATACTGTAACAAATGTCAGAGAGATATTTGGAATTACTTAACCAGACGAATAAAATAAACACATAAGTAACGAAGGAGACAAAGGTCCTCGTTGTTGGAGGACATTCTGTATTGTGGTTTAAAGTGTGAGCTCTAAAACCAGACTATGCGCTTTCAAACCTCAGCATCATTACTTACTGTCTGTGTAAGAGAGATATTGACGTGAGAAAGACACATTAACTGGTTGCCTCCCACATGCACCCCTACCGGGGCTGGAGAACTTGCAACCAAGGTACCTGCCCTTGACTGGGAATCGAACCCTTTACTCTTTGGTCTGAGGGGCCGATGCCCTAGCCACTTAACAGACCAGCCAGGGCTCATGCATTCTTCTTAAGTCAAAAGTGGTCAATGCAAGAGTGGTCAATAAGCATTTTCTTTAAAACAAAAACAAAACACAAAGATATAAAAATACTTTCCTAATAAAGAGATGAAAATTAAAGACACATTTACTACTATGGACTATTCTTAGGACAAGGGATGCAATAATCTCAACTCATTTATTCATTCAACAGTGAACACCTGTTATCACAGGAATTTAAAAATGAATCAACAGCAACTCACCTCCGATGACTCCAATACAAAAGTAAAGCCCTTGTACACTGTTAGAGAAGGAAGCTGCAATCAGGCCACTGCCTGACAAGCAGCCACCAACAATCATGACTGGACGACTGCCATATTTATTCACGAGGACACTGCTGACAGGACCTAAGAAAGGACCAAACATTTAGTGGCGCAGAAGAAAGGAACCTACCCCCCTCACATCTACACAAGGCATTAACCCAGCGGTTCTCAACCGTGGGTCACGACTCCTTTGGGGGTCGAACGACTCTTCCACAAGAGTCGCCTAAGACCATCGGAAAACACATAATTACGTACTGTTTTTGTGACTAATCACTATGCTTTAATTATGTTCAATTTGTAACAATGAAAATACATCCTGCATATCAGATATTTACATTTTCATTCATAACTAGCAAAATTACAGTTATGAAGTAGCAACGAAAATAATTTCATGGTTGGGGGGCATCACAACATGAGAAACTGTATTAAAGGGTCACAGCATTAGGAAGGTTGAGAACCACTGCATTAATGACACTAAGTGACAAGTCCTCCAATATAAACATACAACAAAAGGTAATGGTAAGAATATTGCTTTCTTTTGTATCTGGATATTCTGGATGGAATTTTACTGAAATATAAACGACTAGATCAGGGGTGGGCAAACTTTTTGACTCAAGGGCCACAATGGGTTCTTAAACTGGACCAGAGGGCCGGAACAAAAGCATGGATGGAGTGTCTGTGTGAACTAATATAAATTCAAAGTAAACATCATTACATAAAAGGGTACGGTCTTTTTTTTTCTTTTAGTTTTATTCATTTCAAACGGGCTGGATCCAGCCCGTGGGCCGTAGTTTGCCCACGGCTGGACTAGATCCTTAATCTTTCTCTTATAAGGCAGAACAGGCTGGAAATACCTTGGTAATGGATGTTCATAAGCTTCTTGATGTATCTAGGATACGACCAACATATATTTTGTAAGTTTACTTTGTTTTAAATTTTGGACAGACACACGGATATGATGATATGATTTCAGAGCATTTACATATTATAAACTAGAGGCCCAGTGCACAAAAATTTGTGCACTTGGCGGGGGGGAGGGGGTGTCCCTGAGCCTGGCCTGTGCCCTCTTGCAGTGTGGGACCCCTCGGGGGATGACCACCTGCTGGCTTAGGCCCGCTCCCTGGGGGATTGGGCCTAAGCTGGCAGTCAGATATTCCTCTGGCAGCCCGGGAGCACTTGGGGAATGTCCACTTGCCAGCGGGGAGCAGGCCTAAGCTGCAGTTGGACATCCTTAGCGCTGCTGAGGAGGCGGGAAAGGCTCCCACTACCACCGCTGTACTGGCAGCAGTCAGCCTGGCTTGTGGCTGAGCAGAGCTCCCCCTGTGGGAGCGCATTGAGCATCTGCCCCCTGGTGGTCAGTGTGTGTCATAGTTGACCAGTTATTCCCAATAGTTCTGCTGTTAGTATCCATTTGCATATTATCCTTTTATTATATAGGAGTGCCTGGCCAGCCTGGGTGAGGGGTTGATGGCAGTTTGCAGGCTGGCCACGGCCCCCAGCCACCCAAGCTCCCAGTGGAGGCTGGCTGGAAGCAGGTATCTGCGATTTATTTAGCTTCTATAATTGAAACTTTGTTGCCTTTTGCAGAGGCCACAGCCAGCCAGAGCAGGCGGGAAGCTTAGCTTCCTCCAGCTCCATGGCTGCTGGCCACCATCTTGTTTGGGTTAATTTGCATATAGTTGCTCTGATTGGCTGGTGGGCATGGCTTGGGGGTGCAGCAAAGGTACAGTCAATTAGCATCTTTGTCTTTTATTAGTGTAGATGTGGTTTATATTTTTAAAAAAGAAAAAAACAGCCCTAACCAGTTTGGCTCAGTGGATTGAGCGTCGGCCTGAGGACTGAAAGGTCTCAGGTTCGATTCCAGTCAAGGGCATGTACCTTGGTTGCGGGCACATCCCCAGTGGGGGGTGTGCAAGAGGCAGCTGATCGATGTTTCTCTCTCATCAATGTTTCTAACTCTCTATCCCTCTCCCTTCCTCTCTGTAAAAAATCAATAAAATATATTTAAAAAAAGAAAAAAACAGACAAAGTACATAATTATTTTTTTCAAGTTTTAAGTTTTGTAATTAGGACAGCTAAATGTATAACAGAACTGTTCCCAATGACATCTAGATGTCTCAGGTATTGAACTGATTATGACTTTTAGAGAGTTAACCTGGTTCCTTGCCTATATTATTGTTTTGTGTTGTTAGCCAATACTGTGAGTAAGAAAGCTTGTAGGAGAAAATTAACTCAGATAATGGTCAAAATATCCATTGGTGTAATGCCTCAAGAAGATAGGAAATGGAGTGTTATCTAAGAAAACCAGATTAAATTTCTTCAGCTGAATAGATACATACCAATAAAAAATCAGGGTATTTTTTTTTTTAATGTGAGTGAAGGAACCAAATAAAAAGTGAAGTATTAAGGATCAAGAAAAAAAAAAAGATTTGATGTATTTTATGTATCAGTTTTTTAATACAAAAATCAAATGGCCTCTTCTTATTTGCTACACATAGGTATAATCTGTAATTCATTTCCAAATTTGTCTTAATTATAAGGAAGTCTTATCAAAAGCAAACAATGGTTTGAAAGCTATAACACAACTCACATACACTAACAGTATTTTCTGATTACACACTGAGTGACACTCATTGAATTTCATTTATTTATATTTATAAGAATACTTATGTCTCTACTTCATGGACATGAACTTGTGGAAATGACAGCTTTGTTTACATAACACCATAACCTGTCTGGCTGGTGAAGGTAGATGACTGTAAGTAGGAAAGAGTCACTGCAATGCAGCTGTAGGGAAGGGGATAATGGAACATGCAAGTCACAAAGTTGGTGTGTCCCAAGTTTCAAATCCGGCTCATTTTCTTCCCATTACATGATTCTATATTTATAAAGCAGAAGACATACAAATCATATTTCTATTCTATCCGCACAGTAAATTATGACCTTATTCCGTTTACTGTATAGTTATCTCCCTAGAACAGCCGTGGGCAAACTACAGCCCGCGGGCCGGATCCGGCCCATTTGAAATGAATAAAACTATTGAAAAAAAAGACCGTACCCTTTTATGTAATGATGTTTACTTTGAATTTATATTAGTTCACACAAACACTCCATCCATGCTTTTGTTCCGGCCCTCTGGTCCAGTTTAAGAACCCATTGTGGCCCTCGAGTCAAAAAGTTTGCCCACCCCTGCCCTAGAAGATAGTAAGTCTAATTTTAAAAACATACTGTATATAGAATGTTTATAAAAACATACTGTATATTCAGAAAATACTATTGATCATATGTTAACATATTCTATTTCCATTAATACTATGGAAGATTCTGCAGTTACTTTATTCTAGTAGTACTATTCTTAATCGCAGCATGGTGTTATAAGATTAAAAAAACAGGCCTTTTGGCTAAGATCAAGAGTAGTATATTCTTATAAGTTTAATATCTGATATGTCCTCTACCTGCGGACCTTATAGTAAATGTATTTTTGGAGCAGGAGATGGAATAGGAGCTTGCTCCATCCACTCCACGCATTGACCTGGTATTGCAGTACCTTGGGAATGGTGCAAAAACAGAAAAGGCTCTGGCTGCAGGGAACCCAAATTCAAATTATGGTAAGTATGTATGTACATACCTACATACATATGAATACATGTATATATACACATAGTAAACATGCATGAAGAAATAAAAGCTTTTAATATCCCAGTGTTTCAGAGGATCAAGTCTCTCTAAGGTGCTGGGTCAGTAACTGACTGTTAGGACAGACTTCAGGCTAAACCAAGAATCCTATATAATAAAGAGGTAGTATGCAAATTGACCATCACTCCAACACACAAGATGGCCGCCACCATGTGGACACAAGATGGCCAGCAGGGGAGGGCAGTTGTGGGTGATCAAGCCAGCAGGTGTAATGGACAGTTGAGGGGGACCCAGACCTGCAGGGGAGGGCAGCTCGGGGGGACCAGGCCTGCAAGGGAGGGCAGTTAGGGGTGACTGGGCCAGCAAGGGTTACCAGGCCAGCAGGGGAGGGCAATTAGTGGCAATCGGGCGTTGGGCCTAAACAGGCAGTTGGACATCCCTCGAGGGGTCCCAGATCAGATTGGAGAGGGTGCAGGCTGGGCTGAGGGATACCCCTCCCCCATGCATGAATTTTGTGCACTGGGCCTCTAGTATGTATATAAAGAAGTTTTTATTGCCCTAGCTGGTTTGACTCAGTGGCTAAAGTGGCGGCCTGGGGACTGAAGAGTCCCAGGTTTGATTCCGTCAAGGAAATGTACCATGGTTTCAGGCTTGATCCCTGGCTCCAGTTGGGACTGGAGGGAACCAATTGATGTGTCTCTCACAAATCGATGTTTCTCTCTCTCTGCCTCTCCCCTCCTTTCCATTCTCTCTAAAATTCAATGGAAAAATATCCTTGGATGAGGATTAACAAAACAAAACAAAAATTTTCATTGACCTAAGTCACTTCATGCAAACATTAGGCCACAGCTGGTTTGGAAATAATTTTTACTTACAGCTTGTGTAAGATGAAAGAATAAAATATTGCCACGCTGTTGACTCTGAGAAGTATAAGTTAATGCTGTAAAGTTTCCAGCATTTTATTTTTAAAAAAAACATATTTTTATTGATTTCAGAGAGGAAGGGAGAGGGGGAGAGAGACAGAAATATCAATGATGAGAGTATCATTCATCGGCTGCCTCCTGCATGCTCCCACACTGGGGATCGAGCCTGCAACCTGGGCATGTGCCCTTGACCAGAATTGAACCTGGGACCGTTCAGTCCGCAGGCCAACGCTCTATCCACTGAGCAAAACCGGCCAAGGCAGTTTCCAGTATTTTAGATGGGAAATGCTAAGATGACATCACCGTAAAACTGAAAACATGTAAATTTACATTTTTCATTTTAGAAAAAAAGAGGAACAATTCAAGGAAATAAATAAAACAACAGTAGGCAACTGAGATCTCTTCTCCTATAAAACATACTCTAACAAGTATCAGGATGTATCTATGAACCAAAGCATTAAAGAAAAGAAAGAAAAGCAAACTAAATCACTCACAGCTCAAAACATATTAGGGTGGGTGTGGTCCAAATGCACAAATTAAAGGATTATGGCCCTTGTAAAAGTTATGGTAATTATTAGGGGACATACTACTTAGGAGCCCATCTAAACAAAATAACCCATTTAGTAAAAATTCTGCCACAAGACTCATGATAGGCAATTTGTCTTTTGAGTTATTTCAGGAAGGCTGGCCCCAATTAGCTATAATTAGAAAAAGAGAGGGGTACAATTCATAGTCCTATTATAACAAAATTCAGGGAAATGTGCTAGTTATCTCTGGGTGCGGACAAAGAAGGAACTGTTTTCCCAAAAGAAAGTGTCATGTACAATGAGTAGAACTGACATCACTTACTTTTGATGCAAAAGTCAAGTGGTTTTCAAGCTCTTTGGCAGCTCAGAATTGCAACAGCAAACCTCTGGTTTGTAGTCAGCTTAAAGATACACTAAGCAACGGGAGTACCTCTGGAGAATATTTATACCAATTTTTCAAGCCATCATAAGCAAAACCTGATTAGAAATCCTGGCAGATGGAGTTCAAGGCCTCCAAAATTATTTGCCCTCAGAAAAGTAGACAAGGTCCAAGGTTCCTTTTCATTTCTCTAAACTTATATTTTCAAAAAGTACTATAATTGCCGGTCGGTGTGGCTCAGTCGTTGAGCATTGACCTATGAACCAGGAGGTCACGGTTCAATTCCCAGAGTGGACACATGCCTGGGTTGCGGCTTAATCCCCAGGGGGCAGCAGATCAATGATTCTCTCTCATTATTAATGTTTCTATCTCTCTCTTCTTCTCCCTTCCTCTCTGAAATCAATAAAAACATATTACAAAAAAAAGTACTTTAATAGACAAAACAGGCTTATGTTCAAAATTCCAAAGATATACAGCAGAAAAAAATGTATTCCCAGACCTGTTTCCTGTCACCCAATTTATCTTTCTCTAAAGCAATCAGGTTACCTGTTTTATCTGTGCAATGAAATTAGGCACTTAATCCAATTATGACTCCAACTTATTTCTGTTTCGTGAGTTTATGTTATTGTCTCAACAGGATTATAAACAGGATCACAACACCTAACCTAGCGTGTAATAGGTAATAATCAACCTACTATATATAATGTGAAATACCAAGCATAGTGCTTAATAAAAATGGGGTAAAGCTGACACCAGGTTAGAAGCGTAAGGTTCAGGTTTAAGTTAAAATGTAGAATATTCATATTGGATATTAAAGAGCTACAGATTCAAATGATAAAGAGAGAGAACCAAAATGGTGGCATAGGTAAACACTGGTACTCGCAGCCTCCCACAACCACATAAAAAAATACAACTGAAATACACAATGGGCAACATTCAAAATCGCCTGAAATCTGGCTGAGTAAAAGCCCTATAACTAAAGAAGTAAAGAAGGCCTGGGGTGGGGCAGGAACTGGGTAGAGGGGAGAATGAAGAGAAGGGGAACATCTGTAATCCTATCTAATAAAAGAGAAACATGGTAATTAGCATACATCCACCACCCTTCCCATTGGCTAATCAGTGAGATATGCAAATTAATTGCCAGCCAAGATGGCAGCCTGCTTCCAGGCAGCTTGAAGCTAACATGAGGCTTGCTTGCTTCAGTGATGGAGGACTCCAACGTTCCCTGCCTGCCTTG